GCCGCGCCTCCTCCCCCCGCCCCCCTTACCTGCTTCAGGCTTCCCGCGAATTAAATGTTCGCGGGAAGCAGGGGAGGGGGCGGAGACTTTGGGAGGGGGCGGAGTTGGGGCGGGGGCGTGGGCGGGGCTGGGGGGCGGGGCCAGGGCCCCGGGGAGTGTCCTCCATTTGGAGGCACAAAATATGGTAACCCTAATATAGTTCTGTTGTCCCCCTTCACTCCAGAGGTGGCTGCATTTCACTAGTGCAGTGATTCTTGCTTGTTGTAGTTAGGCAAATACTGCAAACATGTTTTTTGTGACTATACAGTCTAATTTTCAATTAATTTGCTTAGGCCTCCCTTGCATCTCTTTTGTGTTTCATTTCCATGCATGTTCATGAAAAGTGAATTTTAAAGTCCTTATGTGGGGATTTTTTCTAAAGCTGCATTTTATAGATGTACATATGAAACGCCGACAGACCCTGGTTGTCGGTGGGCAGGATAAAACCTCGGACCTCTGGAACTAAATGCATGAGTCTCTACTACATGAGCTAAAAGCTACATGGTATTAGTTAAGGCTGTAGCAGACTCATTAATCTCTAAGTGGTGTAGGAGCCACTAGAGGGGGACAGAGCACCCACCCAGCAGGCATGGGTTATACATACAGCTTTTAACACTGGATTGAAAATGTCTGTGCACTCATCAAATCAGAGAATAGAAATCATACCATTTGACTTACTTCATCAATCATATATAACCAATACTATTTGAATAGTGAAAACAAAATACTTTGTTTATTCATTCAGCTTGTAAAATATTTTGGGATCCTACAAGACAAAACTGATCCCAGTGGCCTAATGGATAAGGCATTGGCCTCCTAAGCCAGAGGCTGTGGGTTCACTTCCATCCCATCTGTGGTGAAGAGCTTCTTTGTTTAATAGGCATCAGGTTTAAAACAAACGAAAGGAACTGCGGAACAACCTGTGGAACTCTTTGCCAGGGGATGTTGTGAAGGCCAAGACTATAACAGGGTTCAAAAAAGAACTATATAAATTCATGGAGGCTAGGTCCATCAATGGCTATTAGCCAGGATGGGCAGGGATGGTGTTTATAGCCTCTGTCTGCCAGAAGCTGTGAATGTTCATTCCC